AGAGAGAGAGAGAGAGAGAGAGAGAGAGAGAGAGAGAGAGAGAGAGAGAGAGAGAGAGGTTAAATGCAGAGGTTATGTCGGGCTATGAGGCCCAGGATCTGATTCGACATTAAGGCGGCAGAAATTGATTGTGACAGGGAAACTATTTTTGGACTTCGCTATCACGATCTTGGTCTTCCCCCTCATCTTTATCTTCGTCTTGCTCCTCCTCCCTCACCTCATCCGTGGTATCTCCCCATGTGAGTGTTCAAGGAGGGACCTTTCTTCTGTGTATGCAGTCCCTCCCTTCTCTCTCGCATGTGTGGGGTGTGATGGGTTGAGTCGCGTCAGTATCTGACAGGTCAGGTCATATCTTTGAGTCTTCCACTGCGCTACATTGTGCTACTTTTGTATGTATCTGGATGTACATTGCTTGTTGATGCTTCACTGATGCTGCATTGTCCATTCAAGTCCTTTTCATCACTTTGCAGATCCTTTGGCTCCATATACATCGCTCGATTGAGCATGTATCACACACCCTGCTCACGACCCTTATTCATGACCTGCTCATGGATCGGTCCCAGTTGGCGCTCACCATGACAAAAGGGAGGGAGTGCGCCACTGGACTTTCCTTTGGTCCACGTGGGTTCGGCGCCCTGCTGTACAGCAGAGCACAACTGACCTGTTCTCGTTGTACCGTGGAGCTCGCCCAGGGACGCGAAGGTAGTACGACCAGTGCGGTCTATTCTACTGCGCGCCAAGTTCCCTTTAATCGAGTTATGGGTCGAATACTTTAGTCGTGATCACTATCAAAAGAAGAAAAATAAAAGACAAAGAGAAGAAAAGAAAAGAAAGCCTAAGAGAGAAAAGTGAAACGCAGCGTTCCCAATCAGCGCTATCAATTGTACTGTGATTTGAGTTTCGACGGATCTAAAGGCTACAGAAGCGGCATAATAACTTTCCCCGATAAATCTAATTTTTTCTTATGTTAATCTTGTCCTTTCAATTTTTGTTCCCCCTTTTCGTGACTTCGCAGGGGGGGAAATGGTTTGTTTGCTTTCAAATGTGAAGTGGTCGCCCTAAACTGGCTCGACCCCTCATATTTCCAATTCGACCTATGAAAGCAACCTGCCAGGTGTCGTGGTGTATACCCTCAAAAAGTACGGTAGCCGCGGCCGCATCGGTAGGAAGCTTATCACCCCCCATGGAAGGTCATAAGCCTCCTCCTTACCATCGGACAAGGGCCCTTACTAGTGGTAGGCTCATTATCCCTTCTAAAGGATGGAGGCTGTCGACCGAGATCTCGTTCTGGGACTACACCGCGCGCCGAGCTAACGGTCTTTTCAGGTCGAGTGAAAAGACTGCATGCGCTGATTATAGAGAGACGCGCCTGTTTTATGATTATAGAGAGGGTCTTAGAGTCTGATTATTTTATTTTACTATTTATGGTAAAATTATCTAATACTCTATAACAGGTCTCGCGTGACGCCGCTGTGAACCCGGGGGCCCTGTGTTGGGAAACTGGCAGCGGACAAGGTGCGGGCCCACGGGGAACTTGCACATAATGCAGTTTTTTTTTTTTTCCATTCGCGCGAGTTCGAACGATGGTGTGTGCAGGCCAAAGGGGAACTTGCACAAAATGTAGTTTTTGTTTTTCCCGTTCGCACGAGTTCGAACAGTGGTGTGGCTCGGTGGAAGAGTATGGACATGGGGAGAAGTATGGTTGTGCGCCTTTGCTTTGATTCCCGAAACTTCGTCCACGCGGGGGAAAATCAAAAACGGCTGCGGACCACCTGGAAGTTTAAATCAAAAACGGCTGCGCACCACCCGTAAGTTTTTCCACCACGGCATGACATTGTCCGACACACACACACACACATGGCAGTGTATATTTCCATGTTCCAGTGGAAGATTAATTCGATTTTGCTAAACCTATCGATGGAAGTACCATGAGGTCAGCCGCGAGGTTGGAGACTTATGTGGCATACTGCGTAGCCACACGGGCCTGCAGGGCCCGTCCCGCATTCCCAGCCTAAAAGCCTAGAAATAAGGGCTTACAGGCCCCTGTCGTTTCAGCCTGAAAGACTGAAAAACGAGGGCCTGCAGGCCTTATGTCGTTTCAGCCTAAAACAGGGCTTTTCAGCCCTGAGGCTTTTCAGCCTGAAACGCAGGGCCACTTTCGGGCCCTCATAAGATCGACCTGTCCTAACACTCAGTCACAAAACCAGGGGTTCGGGAACAGGCTATCTTTAGCCTGTTCCCACGACAGCCTCAAGCAGGAGCTGCAGCGGCAGCCCCTGACTCCCTGCGGCATTGGCAAGAGCAGCCTCCTGGACTGCGTAGCCCTGCAGTCAGGAGGCAGGCCGAGAAGTACATAGGGAGTTCCCATGCACTTCACGGGTAGGAAGTTGGACAGTAGGCAGTAGTCTTCAGGATTCGACCGCAGCACTCAGGAGGAGCGCAGCAGGAGTAGCTTAGCGCTAGCAGTAGTCTTCAGCGCTGGGCGCTAGTAGCCATAGCAGTAGTCTTCAGCGCTGGGCGCTAGTAGGTGGTAGTAGTAGAGTTGGGAGAGATGACTGGCGGAGGCAAGTGAGACTTACCTGTGGCGCCATAGCTCCAGCTCCATCTTCGAGGTACCTGCATCAAGGCGCCAACTTCACAGGTTAGTACCGGACTGAGAGAGAGAGAGAGAGAGTGTTCCTCTTCTAAGTCCACCATCTCTTCTTCCCCTCTCGCCACCTAACTTCTCAGTATCAGCGGACTACGACAGAGAGAGAGAGTTGTGACTTGAGACTTGACGACATTGGATCCAGACTCGACATTGGGATTCAGACATTTTGAYGAGGGACTATTTGGGCCTGTGCCGAAGACTTGGTGTTGACGACATTCCCATCTTCCCCTCTTCTTCGTCTAACCCCCCTCTTCTTCGTCTGTGTATGGTTGGGGCTGGCGCAKTCTTCCTGTGTGAGCGCCAGACCCCTTCACACCATGGAATGATGATGATGATGTATGTTCTGGGCTGCATTGCAATATTGATTGTTCGGATCATTGGTATCTAAGTTTTCCGCTGCGCTATCTTGTACTTTGTTAGAGAGGTCGGTTCTTGTTCTGGTCTGCACCGTTACAGTATGCAACAGTTTGGTATCAGAACGGACCTCTCATTCAGAGGACCCGCTCAATCAAGTAGCCAGCTTGCTTGATCTATTGATAACTCGTTAGTAAATCAAGTAGGACTTCGTCAAATCTCTGAATTTTTTTTTCTTTTTCTCGCAACAACTATCTGAAAATAATTGCATTTCGTTTTACCTGAAAATTTCTGATATTAGTATTTCGTTTTCACGCAACAAATATCTGAAAATTTCTGATAATCGCATTTCGTTTTATCTGAAAATTCCTGATAGTAGCATTTCGTTTCTCTGATATTTCGCATACATAGCTGAAAATTTCTGATGTTAACATTTCGTTTTCTAGGCATATTAGGATAACGATAGAAGTGGTCATATTCTCGGAAACCGGATTTAGTCTTTTCTGAAAATCGAATTTCCATTCTATCTCGCAAATTTTTTTTGAAAACCGAAATCTTACGAAGCCTACCAACATTTCATTAGGCATATTCGGAGGTTGCCATATTCTCAGAAACTGGATTTAGTTCTTTTCTGAAAATCGCATCTCTACTCTATTTCGCCAAAAAAAAATTCAAGATCGCATTTTTGTAAAAGCCGAAACTTTGCGGAACCTAGCCTAGATCTCGCTCATAGTACTCTTCTGACATGTCTCACTCATAACAGATCAACAGATATACAAAAAAACCAAAAAAAAGGAAGTAGTCCTCTTTTATATTTTTTTATTTTTATCTGTTGATTAGGGACGGGAGGAAAGTATTGTCGGGTTGGTTCCCTACCTGCGTTTTCCCTCCCACCCACCCCTTGCGTGCATTTCCGGGTTGGTACAGTGCCACGTCAGCCACAGTGCCACGTCAGCAGTGCCACGTCAGCAACAGTGCCACGTCAGCAGTGCCCCGTCAGCAACAGTGCCACGTCAGCAGTGCAACAGTGCCACGTCAGCAGTGCAACAGTGCCACGTCAGCAGTGCAACAGTGCCACGTCAGCAGTGCCATGTCAGCAGTGCCACGTCAGCAACAGTGCCACATCAGCTGTGCCACGTCAGCAACAGTGCCACGTCAGCAGTGCCCCGCCACCATGACGGGCTCAGTTCTGGGCATGCCAGGCCAACTGGCAAATGAGTCCATTGCCGGGTACCGACAGCGGTTCGAAACTCAGCTCGCACTAATCGCGGCTGAGGAACAGCGCCAGCTGGCAGCCAAGGCTCTCCGCCTACAGGCTGAAGCGGCGGCAACAGCTGAGAAACAGCGGCTTCAGGCCGAAGCAGACGCAGACACCCAGGCACGCCGCAAGGAAGCCCAGGATCTGCTGCAGCAGCATGAAACCACCAGCATTAAAAGGCTCAAGTTTTGGCATTTTGAACCATCCGCGGAGCACAACGACGCGACACCGGAGGAACAACACAAGGAATTCATGGCCAAGTTCATGACCAGGTTGATTTACACTTGTAACCACCTGCAGTCTGAGCTGGCGAACCTCCAGCGGGCCGTACGGAACCACAAGGATCAGCACGAGGATGCAGCACGGGCACTTGATTCCCGTCTACAGGACTTGGAGCAAACTGCACCAAGACCGGAGGCTGGCGAGTCCAGCAGTGCACCCTTTACCCGCCAACTGGAGGAACACGTCGATCACGTAGTGGCAATGCTAGGTGATATTAGCACCTTCGCAGCGCCAGCCACCATCAGCCATCAGCTGAACACACTAAAGACCGAGATCAGGCAGCGACAACAGCTTTCTGACCCTGATCGCAGCACCAGCACGGCGAAGCATTACAAGATGCCGACGTTCCGAATCGAGAAGTTCGATGATTACACACATCAAGACCCGGTCGTCTGGTGGCAAGGATTCACAACGGAGTTGGGGATTTTTGAGGTCCCCGAACATCTGTTCATCGGCGTGCTGTTCCTTAACGCCAAGGGAGGATGCCAAATCTGGCTCAGCCATATGGCAACCGTCCACGGCGTCCAGGTCTTCGACCTGCACAAGAAGGTCTCCTGGGAGGATCTGACAAAGGAATGGACGAAGCGGTTCATCGTTGACGACGCCCCAGCTCTCGCCATCAACCGCATCTTCACGATGGCTCAAGGAAACACAGCGACACGTGATTGGCTCACAGATTGGCAGAAGATTGTGGCGACGCCCGATTTGGACTTACCATTTCCGCATCTGCGCCAGGAGTTCTACAACCGGTCATGCACCGCTTTGAGCCTCGCACTTGGTGATCGCGAGCAGTACAACACCTTCGCCGAAATCATCAACAAGGCGAGGGGGGGCGGAGACCGCCGCAAGGCGGAAGGACGTCGGGAGCACCAAGGGGAGACGTGGTACAGGTGGGGCAGGAGTGTCGGGGACCACATAGGATCGGAAGACGGGGCAGTACCGGCAGGACAAAGAGCCAGGGACCATGCGGGACCAGGGGACGGCGTGGTGCCGGCAGGACGAAGTACCGGGAACCGCGTAAGACCAAAGGAAAGACGTAATGCAGGCGGGCCAAAGTGCCTGGGACCGCGTGGGCCTAAATGAAATGGCGGGACCCGCGGAACCATTAGCAGGACGAGTATCGACGGGATAAAGTGTCGGGAGCTGCTGACGGGGGCTGAAGACCAGAGCCGTCGGTGGAATAAAGGGCGACCGACCCAAGGGGAGTACACGAGGGCGGGACGTCACCCGGGACGACGCCGGAAAAAGGGAAGAGACTAGGGATAATAAGAAAAAGAGGAGAAGTCGGGTGCTGGCGAAAATTGACAACAGAACGAGGAGAGACGGGCGTGAGACGAGAAAGACAAAGGGTGCATGGAGCGACCCAAGGGGATCCTGGATCAGACGCAACGACAACAAAAATAAAATAACCTGACACCAGGTGGATGGGACTGTCCGGGCCACGGAGTCCGAATGACAACACTAAGTACCACTGCGGCAAGCGCCGACGGGAGGTGCCGAGGGGAAGAAAAAAGGGAGTAGCGGCGGTAAGAGGGGCCGGCCAGCAGTCCGAGTATCCCGGATCAGCCAGGCCAAGAAAAACGAAGTCCCAAGGGCTCCGCGTGGAAAAAAGGCTGGCCGGAGAAAATCGGAGCAAGGGGGTCTCAAAACTGGAAGCAGCGGCAGCAAAAAGGAGCCCCCTTTGGCCTTGGGGGTGCCGAGGTGCAACGGCCATATGTCGGCTGCAAATCAGGCCTTGGGAAAGGTCCAACAGCTAGAAAAAGGAGAAATAGTTGTTGGACACTTGTCCCAACAGTAAATGAGAAAAGAAAGGAGAAAAAGGTGGGAGAATGAGACAAAGGAAGGGGAAGGAGTGGAGGAAAAAGTGCCGCCAGGTTGGGATTGCAGCGGTAGGGACTGGCAGGTCTCAATGATGACCTCATCCCTCCTAGATCCTAGGAGGGCAGTCCGGATTGCAGAGACAAGGTCCTTGGGGCATTGTCTCTGCGATATCTGAATTTAAGCAACAAAAATAAAGAAAAATGTTGATGTGAGTTGGCCGGCTCATTTTTGGGCCTTAAATATGAGATATGATCTTGCGGAGGAGGAGATCTAGCCGTTTTTTGTGGGCTGACACAAAACAGCTAGCTCCGGAATGAGTTGGCAACAAAATGGAGGGAAAACAAAGAGAGGAACAACACAAAACTGCGAATTTGGCCCAAGGTTTGGGCCAGGTACATCAAAAAAATTGAAAATTGGAGCAAAAGACTCAAATTTGGAGCAAGGGGGGGCTTGGAGTAACTCGGAATGATGAGAATCATAGATCTCAGCCAAATCCAAGGCTGAAATTTGTGCCGCCACTTGGAAAAATGCAATGGCCTACCCAAAGGAGGCCTAGACCAATAAACAGGCGAAAAATGGGCCTTGGGGCCCTCAATTTTCAGTAAAGGCTGCGTTTTGGGAAAGGGTACCCCAAAAGGCAGCACTTTTTGAGGCAAAAAGAGGCCGGGGTAGGCTAAGGGGTAGTCCGAGAGGGTACCAGCCTCTCGGACTGCATGTACCTGGCCAAAATAAGGCCCAGGTACCCCCGGAGAGGCCAAAACCGATAATTTGGCCTTTGGGGTACCTCGCTCCACCTGGAGGCACTTGGAGGGGCCTAGAGGTTGGGCGGTGCACCTGTTCCAGCCTATATAAGCTGGAGGTGTAGGTCGCAACTCTCATTTGAGCATGAGAGGTGCCCATGCTGCCCAAATGAGTCCAGGAAAGAGTCCAAGCGGGAGAGGAGCAAGGGAGTGAGGGCCGGAGCCAACCTGTAGCCTGGCTATGGTGGTAAGGCTGAGAAAGGTGACCTAGAGGCTAGGAGGGAGCAAGGAGAGTGGTCCGCCATAGCCCTCAGGCTGTGAAGTAGAAGGAGAGGCTGAAAGGGGCCCCCATAGCCCTTCTAGAGAGAAGGACTCCACAGTTTTAGAAGTAGGAACCTGCCATAGCCAAAGGAGAGGTGTGAGGGAAGGAGGAGAGAGCTTGGAGGGAGGAAAAGCCAAACTCAGGAGGCTAGAACCAAGCATTGGGACTCCACTGCCTAGAGACCTCCTTCTTCTTCTTCTTCTTCCTCTTCTCCTTCTTCTTCTTCTTCCTCTTCTCCTTCTTTTCTCCTTCTTCTTTCTTCCTCTTCTTCTTCTTCTTCTTCTTCTTCTCCCTCTTCTTCTTCCTTTTCTTTTCTTTCTCCCTCTCCTCTTTCTCCCCCTCCTCCTCTTGTTAAAACTGCGAATTTTGTTGATTTGGGTGCCTGGGGGTGTTGCGCTTCATCTTGTGATACTTCGGTGGTGTTTCCCCTAGTGTAGATGATGTCAAACTTGTCATTTTGTTGATTTGGGTGCCTGGGGGTGCTGCGCTTCATCTTGTGATACTTCGGTGATGTTTCCCCTAGTGTAGATGATGTCAAACTTGTCATT